AGCCATGGAAACAACGAAAAGGTGTGAAAACTAAAACCTTTTCAAACCTCTATAACTTTGTTTCCGTAAGAGATTTTTAAAAGCTGATGGAAAATTTAGGTTTCTCTAAACAAACTATATATTTCTACTTACTCTCTAGCAGTGTGTGGTTGTACCTACTCTCTAGCAGTGTGTGGTTGTAAATACTCTCTAGCAGTATGTGGTTGTACCTACTGTCTAGCAGTGTGTGGTTGTACCTACTGTCTAGCGGTGTGTGGTTGTACCTACTGTCTAGCAGTGTGTGGTGTGTGGCTGTACCTACTCTCTAGCAGTATGTGGTAGTACCTACTGTCTAGCAGTGTGTGGTTGTACCTACTGTCTAGCAGTGTGTGGTGTGTGGTTGTACCTACTCTCTAGCAGTGTGTGGTAGTACCTACTGTCTAGCAGTGTGTGGTTGTACCTACTGTCTAGCAGTGTGTGGTGTGTGGTTGTACCTACTCTCTAGCAGTATGTGGTGTGTGGTTGTACCTTCTCTCTAGCAGTGTGTGGTGTGTGGTTGTACCTACTCTCTAGCAGTATGTGGTAGTACCTACTGTCTAGCAGTGTGTGGTTGTACCTACTGTCTAGCAGTGTGTGGTGTGTGGTTGTACCTACTCTCTAGCAGTGTGTGGTAGTACCTACTGTCTAGCAGTGTGTGGTTGTACCTACTGTCTAGCAGTGTGTGGTGTGTGGTTGTACCTACTCTCTAGCAGTGTGTGGTGTGTGGTTGTAACTTCTCTCTAGCAGTGTGTGGTGTGTGGTTGTACCTACTCTCTAGCAGTGTGTGGTTGTACCTACTCTCTAGCAGTGTGTGGTTGTACCTACTCGCTAGCAGTGTGTGGTTGTACCTACTATCTAGCAGTGTGTGGTTGTACCTACTCTCTAGCAGTGTGTGGTTGTACCTACTGTCTAGCGGTGTGTGGTTGTACCTACTGTCTAGCAGTGTGTGGTGTGTGGTTGTACCTACTCTCTAGCAGTATGTGGTAGTACCTACTCGCTAGCAGTGTGTGGTTGTACCTACTATCTTGCAGTGTGTGGTTGTACCTACACTCTAGCAGTGTGTGGTGTGTGGTTGTACCTACTCTCCAACATCTGCTGTGCTTGTGTGGCGTAGAAGAAAGCGTCCATCAAGGGCGACAACGCCCCGTTGTTACCGTCTAGATAAACCTTCTTGCAGTCGAACTCTAGGGGGTCGGTCTTGTTGCCTATACCGAGGTCACTGACCCCCCTGACGTCTACCGCTGTGGTGGAAGTTTGTATGCATTTTTTATACAGTAACAATTAATTATTCATGAGTAGTTATTTGCGTGTACACGTTTTAAACTGCTCACTCTCCGGGAAAGAATAAAAAGCAGACAAAATATCGTAATGTACTAAATAAGTTAAAAATCTTGATTCTCTTGATGTATTAACACCCAGTTCTGATCACCAAAAATGCTGAATGTAACGAAAGGGGTCCTTGTAGAATGCGATCCAGCAATGAAACAGTTTCTTTTACATTTGGATGAAAAAAAAAACGAGTTCGGTCGAAAATTTGTTTTGCAGGATCTTGATGACACTCATCTATTTATTGCGGCTGAGATTGTGGACATTTTGCAAGAGAGGATTGATGATTTAATGGACCAAATCTATTTCAACATAGCTGAAAAATAAATACACTGATATTTATTCTAAAACATCTCTTCTTATTTTAACAGATTGAATGAACTGGATTACTGTATTACATCTACCACTAATATTAAACATTGTTCGGGCATGGAGGTGCAGAAATTGAACAGCATTCCCTGTGATTCTTTTCCAGAACTAAAAGCATCAGAATTACTCTCTTTGTTTGGTGGCAGTGAGGAAAATGTAAACTATTATCTGAGCTTAAAAGAAACTTTAGCCTATCACCGTGCTAATGGCAAGCAGTCTTACTGTGACCCTCGAGATCATGAGATGGTGACAAGACTAGAAGAGGCTGAGTGGAGACCACAGATCACTTACAAATATTCTGAAGAAGTTAGTTTCACAAGTAAACAAACAGCACTTAATGCCGATGCTCCACAAAGTGAAGGAGGTGATCTGACTGAGATGACTCATGACAGTGATCCCAAGAAAAGTTTTGTGTGTGGAGTGAGTGGCTGTCACCAAGTATTTACCACAATAGCCAGCCATGAGTCTCATTATCAGAACAGCCATGCTTTTGCCTGTGCTACATGTAAAAGAACATTTGTTTCAAACTTTCTTCTGGACATCCACCTTCAAGAGAACCATGACTCTTATTTTCAAATACTCAGTCCAAGAATTGACATGTATCGCTGTCTGGTAGAAAGTTGTGACCAAAAGTTTAGAACAGCTGAGTTACGCAAAGACCACCTTGTCTCAACATAAATATCCTGCCAACTTTACATTCCATGGGCTCATTTCATCCAAGTGAGTTAAAAACAATTCAATAATTTTAAAAATCAATCTACCTTATACAAAAAAAATAACAAAATGTATTTAAACAAAACTCTCTCTTTTTTTTTGTTAGAGCAAAAGTTCAGTCCAAAGAAACATCAAGTACAAGTTCCTGTTTGATGGAAACTGATGGCGTGGAAACTAAAGGTCAAGATGTAAAATCTAAAGGGACAAAGAAATCCAAAGGCAGAGGGAAAAGTGTACCCGCTGTCACAGTGGCGGAACTAGAAAAAAAGGGCCACCCCGCAAAAAAAAATTCTGGGCCCCAGAATATATATATATATATATATATATATATATATATATATATATATATATATATATATATATATACATATACAAACACAGAATACAAACATTAGATACTCATTTCTGGCCTGATCGGGTTTTGAAAAAAAAATCTTTTCTTTTTCAATTTATACAAATTACAGCATATTATTATTATGTGTGTGAGCGCATTAGTCTGCTTCGTATTTTAATTAGGTTTAGAACTAGTTTGCGTTAATGCTGCCTATCCACTACTTTGCAGACGGTCAAAAGAATATAAAACATGAAAGCTTTGTATGTGTAATGGTTTCTCGTGTTATGTTTATTTTTATGTTATTTTGTATTTATATTATTTGTTTTAAATATATATCTTTTTTATGCTCTGTAATTTTTAGTATATATTTTTTTAAAAATAATACTTAAGAGAAGTAATTGCTTTTTAATTTGTTTAGTACAAATATATTAAAAGGAGCTTAAGAGCAGCCCTTTTTAACTATTTAAAAAAGGGAAATAAGCCACGGAAGTGTTTTGAACGTTAGCCTATCTTTCACACTACAGCTCAGGCATATATATTTTTTTACGCAACAGCATGTGTTAGCTACTGTATAACATCACTACTGTAGTAGATCTATAGTAGATGTTGTAAAAGCTTTTACCGTCAAGTAAAAAATGAAAGAAAATTATTTTTTTTTAACTATAAAAAATTTATTATGGTCGGCTATGGGCCCCTAAATGGCGTGGGCCCCCCCGCATTGCGGGGTCTGGCGGCACTGTAGTTCCGCCCCTGCGCTGTCATTTCCTTTGGCTATCATGGGTCACACAGAGCCTTTCCGCAGAGAGGCAGGGGTAGCCATTGGCACCAGCTTGGGAAGAAGGATGTGGACACTACAATTGATATAGAGACGGTCAAGTTTTCTGATCTGGCTGATACACTGGTTGAATGATATCTGCAAGCCTAGGCTTTATAATACTTATATTATACCTTATACTGCTACTTTTCAAATGCCTTAATTGGACTAAAATCTAAATGGTGTACATATATTGCAAAGAAGTCAATTGTCTATTAAAATATGTTAATAATTATCTCATACTTTGGGCAGTAAATTATAATAATGTCTGTGCATTTACAGATCACTTGTTTTTTAAATAAACTCTATTGTTGGAAAAAAAAACAAAAAACAAAACACCCAGTTCTGATCGGTACCTGACTCACGGTATGGAAAGCACAGGGGCTGAGCTTAGTGCTGACTACTTTATCCTTTTATTTTCTTAGGGCACAGAAACAGGTAAACTCTATTTCATTTGGACCATGAAACGTCAGGTTCGAAAAGAGAATTTTACTCTTTATTGATGAAATTATTAATTTTACTGTTTACTATAATTTTAGTTCTAATTATATATATATATATATATATATATATATATATATATATATATATATATATATATATATATATATATATATATATATATAAGGAATTGTGTTTAGCCCCTTTACTGACTTACAAAACATTTAAGATATGGATTACCTTTAACGTATTTATTTGCTAAAATGCACTTCTTTGAATCATTAGAGAACGAGGTGAGCAGACAAAATGGTCTCCTACCAAAGAATATCGGTCCCATAAATGAGCTGCCCCCTATAGCGAATGCTCGGCTCTTGCAAGGGGCGCCAAATGTAGCTTTAGAATGTGAGCACGTAAGTAAATATTCTTATACAAGTACATTTAAAACTCCTCTAATTGATTGATAATTATATTTAATTAATGTACTATGCCTGTAAAGAGGTCATCAATCGTTATGAAATCAATGAGTAGGTGTAGTCTATGTGATTGTAAAATGTATGATGAAACTAATTCAAATGACTGTCTGTTGTTTTAGTCTATTTGATAAATTACTCAAATAATTATTTAATGATTCTCCATAATAATTCAATAAAATGTTTGTATCTGGTTTTATTGAAGTATTCAAAGAACGTAAACTAAATCAAGTAAATGATTTTATATATATATATATATATATATATATATATATATATATATATATATATATATATATATATATATATACGTACTTTTATTATAGCTGACACTATTTACACGATGATAGCATTTATCAATTCTGTAAATCATTCTGTGAAAAAAATTAATCTTCCTATTGTTAATTCTTTCTTTCTTTTCAGACCTAATAAATATAACATTGAAACCAAAGTATGCTTTTTTTTATTTCATACGAGCTGACCCGCGGCATATCATACGCCGCTATTTAGTTGTTTAATTTTCTACTTTTCAGTAATTCATAATTTGTGAATTCGACAGTACCAATGCTGCCACTGAAAATATTTGCTTTAAAACACTATCAGTAGGTCGTTAAGGACGATACTACCCCCACCCTCCTTTCCCCCAACCCCTACCCTACACCCCCCCCGTGAAAGCCGCCTCCTGTAAGTTACCTCCCCTAAGTTTAAAATCGTTTCAAACTAAATTATCCGCCCCTAATAGCCGTCATTAAACCCAGCTCTACGATTGTAAACATTTAGCGTGAACCACAGCTCACCAGACTTCCTAGAGAGGAAGAGAGGGGACTGCAAGGCGCGCTTACAGCTTGTTTTCTAACGTCTCCAAGAAGAGAATTATATATATATATATATATATATAGATGAATTTTAAAAATGTTTTCAGTTATCTTTTATTCGTGAAATTAATTTAAAAATTTCATGGGATGGTTTTATAGCCGTTGTATTTCTACATAATGTACTCCGTGATTTGTTCTAAATTTTAAAAGTTTTAAATGTGTTTGAAATGAGTTGATTAATATATCAGAAAAGGTTTATGTGTACGCCTTTACAATAATCTACATATCAACACTTTATGCCGCAATTTTAGAGGCAAACCACCTTTATTTTGATATATAATCTAGCAGTGCGAAATTCGAAACATAATTAAACGTATTCAGAAGCCAAAACTCTAGACTAGCTGGCGACTCCCCCGCTACACTACGCCACCGTAAAGATAAAAGGTGAGAGAAAAACCTACTTGATAAATCCACCAGATGTATACTTGTAAAGGTAATACTCAACCTCCTGTGAATCATCACCAGTTACCCTCTCAGCCTGACCTGCTAGTTCAAAATACTCGTGCTCAATGCTGATTAGAAATAGAAAATTTAATAAGGCTTGGTTTAAAAAAAACAACAACATATTTTTAATAAACAATTTCTACCAAAAACAAGGTAATTAAAAAGTCTAGGAACAATTTTAGTGCAATTTCCTTATGTTATCTAAAAATAGCTCTGTCGTAGCGTAAATCAAGAGCAGGGTTAGTAAAACCATTGGTTCGTTATTAAAACGTTTTTTATTAATTTTTTTTTCAGTATTTTACATGTTTTATTTACAATAGAGTTACATGACTAAAAACCATTGCGCGCCTACTGAACATGATGGCGCAGCCATGGAACGCGATGGCGCAGCTATTGAACGTGATGACGCGTGTGGTGTGGTTGGAAAAAATGCCTACTAATTCGGTCAAAATTTTAATTAATTCAAAAAAAATTTTGTGACCGAACGAAAGGATATTTTTGAAAACTTTCTTAGGCAATATTGTTCTAAATTATGGCAGGAATCGATTGGTACATGTTTCAAGTCGCTAAGTGGTCTGGTTGCCGAGATATGGGCCAAAAACTGCTTTTTTCCGAGGTTTTTTGGCTTTTCCGGGAAATCCATGAAAGAAACCCGGAATTTTTATGGCCTATGCTTATCCTCGTAACTTGCTTAACATATTTGCTTTTGGAACTAGTCCTCGATATTGCTTCGTTGAGGAGGAGATACGACTTAAATCTGCGGACACACATTCATATATTCATTCATCCATCCATCCATCCATTCATCCATCCAGAAATGACGGGTTAATAAACGCAATTCTCCAGAATGGAAATTGCGCTAAAAAAAGATTTTTGTATGAACTAAAATATTGCTAAAATACCTGTGATATAGATCTTTCCTTTTTTACAGTTATAATATAGCATACAATGTTTAAAGAAAAATTTTTTTTTAAAGTTTAACACCTTTCTAAAATATTTGGTACACCTTAAAAATAATTGCAAATATTATTTTTCTTTTTAAATTCCAATTTATAAAGTTTCTTAACACTATTTTCTACAGTCGGTACTAAAACCGTGGCATTCTAATTAGGCAATACAATATATTTAAATTGCATTATCATTGAGTCCTAGAAAACGTGCCCAGTTTTTAAAAAACCTGTCCGGTCGAAATATTTGAAACTTTGCACACAAGTTTCGATCCATGATGAAGCAAATAATAAGAAAAAGCAAGCAATCAAGTTAAGTAAAAGCTTGTCAACATGGCAAAATGATTTACTAATATAAATGTCAGTAACTAGTTTAAACCATGTGTATAACAAATTGTAGTGCCAATGTTACTAAAAAATTTATACAGAATTACAATTAATTCAATCCAATATTTCTTTTTAAAAATACAATCAATGGACAAGCTCGTCACATTGGCACGTTACTTAAAACAACATAAACTTAAAAGAAAAAAAACCGTTAAACGTAACAACAATCCTTTACCGTTTAATAAGTATCAGTGCTCTTTCCTGTGATAGTGTGCATATCTTTTCTGATCTTTTTCTGAGTTGACTTTTTACTTCGATTTTTGTTACGTTATTTCTGACAACTTCGCTTTTTTCGTCTTTTAACTCTATGTCATTTCGCTTCACTTTAATGTCATTTCGTATGTCAGACGCATCTGTCTGCTTTAAGTCGTGCATGTCATCTGTCAGTCTGTCAATGTCGTGGCTGACATTTAGAACCAACGTGTGACGTGTGAGAGACTCAGTTTTATTATCATGAATCCTTCCAACACGTCTCAGTAGCGTCCAAATAGGTGGGACGGGAGAGGGATGTACACTGCCCTGGAATAGAAATTAAATATGCCTTCGTTAATATTGATAACTGTATCTGTAAATAGTCATTCATCAGAGACTTAAAAAGAAACTACAAATTGTAAAATTCTTTCATGCATATTCTATCGCTAATTGTTCAAACCTTGCCCACTATCATGACGTAAGCACCTGTACAGATTTAGTTGTTGAGATGACTGACATGTCTAGCTAAAATAAACCCACCTGTAGGTCGTTACTGCCGAATTTCTCTTTCTTGTCAACTTCTTCATTCCCATTGGAAGGTATAATATCTTCTTGCCTATTTGTGCTTAGGTCAATCAAATGATAATTTTTCTCCAAAAATGGAAGCGAAAAACTTGTTGCATAGAAATTAAAAACGACAAGTAAAATTGTACTTGTAGCAGCAGCAAATGGCGTCATTATGTAATGGAATGTATAGTGTGTTAGGCTTAGTGTATTGTTAATCCTAGCGTGTGATGTGTAGTCTCTGCCAATTTTCTAAAGCGTACACTCGACGTCTTAAATAAACATCCAATTATAGGTTTTGTCCTGTGAAAACGATTCAACCAATCGATAAATAGACGGTACAATATTTAAAGTGGTAAGCTAAAAAAAAATCTTTAATCTCATTGACTGAATTACAAAAAATAAATATTAAATTGCAAAGAAAAAAAAGCACACTTACGCAGACACAAACACACACAAAAAATTAATGTTTATGTTATACAGCGGATTTTTTACTTTCTCGCATACGAATTATAGATGAAGTTTTGTAATCATGCAAAAAATCGAAATTGAGATTTTAATAAATCTCGACGTTTTATCATCACATACCTGCAAATATCAACATACCTGGCTGTATCAAGACATATATCATCATCAATACCACTATCAACATCTCTACCAGTATCAACTTCCCTGCTAATATTAACATCCCTACCAGTATCAACTTCCCTGCTAATATTAACATCCCTAACAGTATTAAAATTTCTGGCACTTTCAACATCACTGTCAGTATTTAAACTCGTTCATTTAAATCAATTGTTATTGTCAACCTTTTTTTAAAATGTACAATATATTTTTAACTTATATATCTAATACATTTCCTTTTCCAATAGTATCCCCATAGAGTAGCCCTTGTAGAAATAACGCCGATATCTTACCTAGTCTCTATATCTGACTCTATATTTGACTCGTTATCTAATTCATCTTTTGATTTACAAATTGATTCGCTATACGAGCCAAATGTAACCAAATACCTGTGGTCGAAAGGCGTCCACTCGAATCATTGTTGGACCTTGTGACAAAGATCGCCCATCAAGGGAGAATACCTAGAATTTATTTTTGTTTTGCTCCAGGTATAAAACAAATAGAATGGAAAATTTTTAAAAATTGCAATTATAAACAAAAATAAATAAATGACTCCAATTAAAAAATTATGCTACATAGCTCCCATTGGTATGTATAGTTATTTTCTTGAAATTTTTTAGTTCCTAATGTTATGGAGCAATGTTGATTGTTTTACGAAACAAAATGCTTCTAAAAGAAAATTGTTTACATTAAATTATATATTTCAGTGTCACGGTATAAATTGTGATATTAAAATAAATAAAAGCAAAGCATTAGTGCCCTTGTTGCTTAGATTTAGACGGATCATTAAAAGACCTGCATCTAGTCCATGGACAGTTTCCTGCTTGACTAATTTAAGTGAGGAATTAGTAGTATATTAGGTTCCTTTTGGATAGTATTTGGGTGGCGCAGCAGCCTGGTACAACGGGATATAGCAAAATACTCACCCACCCACCTGGGTGAGGGTGGATGAGACGGGTGGGTGAGGCGCAGGGTGAAGAGGGTGGCGCAGGGTGGCGCAGGCCGTAGGTACAAAGATATATAGGAAAATACTCGCAGGGTGAAGGATGAGGCGCAGGGTGAAGAGGGTGGCGCAGCCGCAGGTACAACGAGATATAGTAAAATACTCGGATGTGGAATTTTTTGTTTTTTTAATTAGTTTAATTATTATTATTATTTTTCTTAATTTAAATTTGATTTTTTAAATTAGTTTGATTTTAATTAATTTGATTTTAATTACATTGATTTTAATTTTTTTTTATTTTTAAATTTTTAAATTTTCCTAGACTACCCGTCATCCGTTGGATAACTGTGGGTTTCGGTGGTCATCCATCAAAAAACATCACGTCAGTCACTCAGAGGCATAGCGACCCTTAACGGCGCCCGGGGACAAACTTTTCAATTTGCCCCCCCCCCCCGCAAGATTTCGATTTGCAACCCCCTCCCCAAACTTTTGATGTGCACCCCCCCCTCAAGATTTCGATTTGAACCCCCCCCCCCCACTCAAACTTTCGATTTGCACCCCCCTCAACCTTTCAATTTATTTTTCCAACCCATTTTGGCGCCCCCTAAGGTCGGCGCCCGGGGACATATGTCCCCCCCCCCCTCACCCCCCCCCCCTCCTCGCTACGCTACTGCAGTGTCACTTATCGTCACAAAAAACAGACCCCACATTCAAAAATGTTTTTTATCTTTTAAAAACAAAGAAAACACCGATTTCGGACTATCCCTTCATATACTGACGCCACAGGTGACCTACTCAACTCTACTTCACCTGCCCAGTGTCCCGCCAAGTCTCAGACAACATGTTTTTATCGTTTAAAAAAACTATTCCAGCCGAGCATGTCTCTGACCACACTATCTTTTCATATGCTTAGGACAAAGAAACAGATGAACTCTACTTCACCTGTTCTGTATCCTGCCAAGTTCAGATAGGCAACTTTATCATTCACATCTAAAAAAAAAATTGAAAAAAAAATATCATTGCCATATTGGCCTAGAACCTGTGCCACCCGCATGAGAGCCGACTACACTACCAACTTAGCTATTTACTCGTGACGTCACAAGTGAATTTTTATACTATATTATACTTTGAGTCTCCTTATGCAACTTGATTTACGCGCATAGATCTAGAACTAAGTCTAGTAGCAGTAACTTTCAAATTAAATTTTGTCTTAAATTAGCCAAGCAAAGATTTATATAAAATAAAGAAGGTCTGAAATTATCTAGATCTAGATAGAATTATCTAGATCTAGATTCTACGACTCGTTTGCTTAAGTCTTAAATTTAGTTTTTCTTGCTAGATCTAGATCTAGATCTAATCATTAGCTACGCTAATAGGCCCTGGATCCAGCATTTCAAAATTACCATATTCCAAACAAAGACTTATACAAAATAATAAAGGTCTAAAATAGTTTAGTATATAGAAACTCTTTATTATCTAAATCTAGATAGAATTATCTATATTCTAGATCTACGACTGGTGTGCTTAAGTCTGGTTTTTTTTATTGTATTTATAACTAATAAATCTTTGATTTGACCTAGATTCTAGATCTAGATCTATAAAGAACTTTCTTGGACAGATTGTAGATCTAGAGAAATTTATCGTAAAACTAAATGAAAAAGACAGTTGAAAATTGATATAAGTGTTGGAACGTAATAAATACAGCAAACGGACGTATTGTTAAAGTTAAAGCCGACAGAAAATTAGCTTTAGAACGCGTTAAACATTGGAATGGGAACACAATCTTCTTCGATAGGCCGCCATTATTGATGTAAAAAAATAAACACATCATGTGACGTCACTGTTTCCGTCGAGTCTAGTGTTTTTTTTTAATCTTTAAAAAAAATGTGGTTCATCTACCTATGAATAAATCAATAAATTAATTAACGTCTTTAAATAAATGTGTGATTAACAGTCTGTCTGCATTAAAAAAATATTCTCTACCTACATACTATTTTACAGCTCTCCAGATAGAGTAGAACATATCACAATACTCGATCAGCCAAACAAAAAAAAAAAAAAAATATTCAAACATGTAAACAAACTTGAGTTTTAGTAGTATATAGATTTTTAAATTTTATTTTTTTTAGTTTAATTTTTAAAATTTTAATTAATTTGATTTTAATTTTTAATTAGTTTTAATTTTTTAATTAGTTTAATTATTATTATTATAATTTTTTTTACTTTAATTACGTAATTTGAATATTTGTTTGATTTTAATTAGTTTGAAAATTTCAAGTGCCCCACCCCCCCCCCCCCCCCCTGCTCGTGGAGAAAAAAGTCTGGAATAAATACTGCTTGTCACTATGAGCCACGACAAATTAATTACTTCGTGAATGCTGTATTAAACCCTGTAAATATCCGTTTTATAGTGTGTGAAAACGGTAAAGCACGCTTAAAAATAAGTTGTATAACCGGTGTATACTGCACAATAGGTTTGATGTGTGTTGTGTAGATGCTGTAAAAAGTAGCACCGACTTTTAATGGACGGTGTTTGGATGGGAGCCACTAGCCATACTTTCTATCTGATTGTTAGTATTGATCAGCTCAATTAACCTGGTGTAAAATCAATAAAAAAAATAATACATGGCGTAAATTGTTTACACACTAACACACCCAGAAGACGACACTAAACGACCTTTAAGCAAAGTTGTTTTTTATAAAAAAAAATATTTTCTTCCACTTTTGAGTGTTTCGCTCTGACTGAAGTTGGCATCACATTTTGACAGGCGGATACTTGAAATAGCACAACATAACTAAACTAACGTTAGCGTTTGGATTTGAGTTTTGTTGAATTTCATTTAAATTTCAATTCCCGAGTTACGTGGTCTAGAGGTAGAGTGTTTGCCCACCAACTAAATCACGATTTCAAATCCACATTCTGACTATATTCAATTAGTCTGGTAAAAGAAGAAAAAAAATTGAGCTACATTTTGACAAAAATCTCAGACTGGCAATAAACACGATAAGACACGTGGAGAGTACGGACGCCATCTTTCAAGAAGATGTAGTCAGGCTTTATTGCGAGAGGAGATATTTTGTAAAAACGAATTTAGAACTCTTTATACACAGGATGTATAAACGGCTCGTTTTAATTCATTTTAGAAATATATCAAACATATTGAATGTGACGATTTAGTTTTAGATAAATTTTGCAACCAAACATTATTTATAATACAATGATCTTCGTTGTTCGTCATTTCTTCTTTCTCCTCATATGTATTTGTACAAGAATTTTCTTGTAGAGTGTGTGCTTCATTGAAGATCTAATTAATTCATAAACGTTTCAAGATGCCTCCAAAAAAACCGTTGTTCCAGTTTTACATTTTAAAAGACTTTTTAAAAAGTATTTCTTGCTAATTTGATGACAAATTTTTTTTGAAATTTCAATCTTTAATTATTTTGAGTTGTCCTAAATTGTTCCCTTAAAAATATGATGGAATTTTTTTCTCATATTCTTGCCAAACCTCGGTTGTTTTTTTGTTTTTTTTGTTTTTGTTTTTTGTTTAATTTTATTGAACCGCTTTAAATTTCTCGAAACAAAACAACAAATTAAAAGTTAGAGCATTGATGATAAAAAAATTCCCGCGAACCGGATTCGAACCAGTGACCTAAGGATTGCCATTTTATCACTCTACAGTCCTCCGCTCTACCAACTGAGCTATCGCGGGATATTTACAATTTGTACAATCAATAGAGAAGTGAATGCGTGACCTACACGCTAAACACACCTAGCAGCCGACAAACACTAATCGACTTTTAAGCTAAGTTGGATTTAGTCACGAGGTTAGGTTAAAGCCAAACGATGGTGCGCTTAAATTGATTCAAGGCACGATTATACCGTAATAGATCTATTGTCTAAGGAAAAGAAAAAAAATGTAGTTTGAGATATTTTGTTGGTTATAAATTTTAGTTCATAAAATTTTAGTTCAAATATTTTCGTCCGTGATATATTTTGTTTAAGATACTTTGTCCGTGATAAACTTTATTTAAGATATTTTGTCCGTGATATATATTTTGTTTAAGATATTTTGCCCGTTATATATTTTTGTTTAAGATATTTTGTCCGTGATATATTTTGTTTAAGATATTTTGCCCGTGATATAATTTGTTTAAGATATTTAGTCTGTGTTATATTTTCTTTAAGATATTTTGTCCGTGATATATTTTGTTTAAGATATTTTGCCCGTGATATATTTTGTTTAAGATATTTTGTCCGTGATATATTTTGTTTAAGATATTTTGTCCGTTATATATTTTTGTTTAAGATATTTTGTCCGTGATATATTTTGTTTAAGATATTTTGTCCGTGATATATTTTGTTTAAGATATTTTGCCCATGATATAATTTGTTTAAGATATTTAGTCCGTGATATATTTTGTTTAAGATATTTTGTCCGAGATCATTTTGTCAAGTCAGCGAAAGATTTATATCAAAAGTTTTTCTACCTCCAACCATCTTACACACATGTAGCATATGTTAATATAGTCTTACATTGTCCGATGTCTGTTGGTTTACATATAATGTTCTGTTACCATGAGACAAGTTTATTGTTTTTTGAGCTAATCTACACGTGTCACATTCGTAGCATATTTGTGTTATATTTATCATTAACGCGCTGAAATTATATTTGTGTTACAGAATAAGATGCACAACATTTGATTTGAAAAGAACTGATCGAAGTCCGTTGGTCAATAAATAATGCGTGTACGTAAGACACCAATAGGATGCACCGTTTTTTATTTGACAACGATCTTATATGTATAGCACCATATATGTGGCGTATGTCTAGTACAATATATGTGGGGTATGTCTAGTACAATATATGTGGGGTATGTCTAGTGCAATATATGTGGGGTATGTCTAGTACAATATATGTGGGGTATGTCTAGTACATTATATGTGTCGTGTATGTCTAGTACAATATATGTGGGGTATGTTTAGTACAATATATGTGGGGTATGTCTAGTGCAATATATGTGGGGTATGTCTAGTACAATATATGTGGGGTAAGTCTAGTACATTATATGTGGGGTATTCTAGTACAATATATGTGGGTTATGTCTAGTACAATATATGTGGGGTATGTCTAGTGCAATATATGTGGGGTATGTATAGTACAATATATGTGGGGTATGTCTAGTACATTATATGTGGGGTATGTCTAGTACAATATATGTGGGGTATGTATAGTACATTATATGTGGGTTATGTCTAGTGCAATATATGTGGGGTATGTATAGTACAATATATGTGGGGTATGTCTAGTACAATATATGTGAGGTATGTCTAGTGCAATATATGTGGGGTATGTATAGTACATTATATGTATCGTGTATGTCCAGCACAATAAATGTCGAGTATAGAGCACAATGTGAAACACACTACTCACGATTAAAGATGACAACGTTCTTTAATGTTGATTGTTGTAAAATAACAGTCAAGTTCATAGACGCTGAGTATCATTGAATTTAATTACTGAGAGATGGTTTTTGCATATTTTTTAAGATAAACTTTTATTTATATGTGCAGTAACGCTGTTTGTTAAGAAATATATTGAGTGGATAAAAAATTATAGCACTGGACTTACCCTAGTGGCAAAACAATAACTTACAGTTTACTTAAATCTGAATTGCTTAGTTAATTAATTAAAATGGTAAATAATTATTGACAACGAAAAACATAGATAAGATTTTAAAAGTGAAACAATCACAATCTTTATTTTATTTGCTTATACGTTCCCGTCACAATCAACAATTTGTTTTTTTCAAAATTCCAGAGTTTTGGTGATCTGAACGGGAATCTCCGCTTGAGTTCCAGTGCTGAAGTGAATGTACGTTATCCCACAGCAGATGACATTTTTGCTGATTCTGATCATTCCCAGCCCTATCGTCTGCACCCGATTCTTGCCTTGTCGGTCTGTCGATAGTGTTATCCTCACCTGTGTCTAGAAAATTTGCACACTGAGTTTAGTCTAAACCATATAGATTTTGATGCGTGAAGGTGCGTGCTAGTTTAAATCATAAAAACACATGTGTTGGGTGAGGTATTACAGCAATAGAAACAGAAAAAAATAATTCAACGCCAAGGGTAGACACAGGTACAGAATAAATATAGTCAGCTGATTGGCTGAAGTGAAGTGGTGGGTTCAAATCCCGCTTGGTCATTTACGCTGTCTTTACCCGGACTATATTCTGTATCTGTGTCTACCTTTGCCGTTGAAATATCACATGTTGCTCATATTGCTATTTCAGTAACGACGTCTGCTTGCATCCCCACTACAGGTTTTACAGCAGTGATCATCGACATCAACAGCTTAGACAAATGAAAATAGTTGTTGTTTATAGAAAACCCGAATTACACACACACAATACACACCATACACTGGGTACACACAACATGACCTAGAACCTAGCAATATCAGTAAACACTAACACAGATGTTATACTTTATTCGCTCTGTGATTTTAAAAATGTGTATATGTAACAGGTAAATGTAGATGAATGTATGTTTCGAATGTGTATCTTAAAAAAAGGCGATATGGATCTAAAATGAAAGGTGGGTGTGCGCATGCACTAAGGAAAGGAAGCGAGAAGTAGATAGCGCGGGAAAAACATGGCGATGTTTGGGAGTGAAGGCGATGTTCTTATGAACCAATAAAATTATGGAAATTACAGGAACAAGTGTTGATTTTTGTTTTGAGTTTGTGCCATGAAATAGGTAGGAGAAAAGGCTATGACATTTTGGTGTCAGAAGTGAGCGGTGATCCACACCGTAAAGTACTGGACTAATCTAGATCTAACAGATTTTTAAATATTTTTGACATTTTGGTAATTGAGTAATTTTCTGCATTAATATGGAGAACTATGCCAAAATTATTGAGTTAGCTGACTCTTTAGGATACACTGGGGCAGGGGCAGAAAAGGCCAAATGGGTTGAAGATAAAATAGCAGAAAAAAAATATCGGATGCAGCTGAAAGGGAAGAAAGAGCTTTAGAGAGGGAATTAGCTAAAGCTAAAATAGAGGCTGAGAAAAAAAAAGTTAAAATAGAGGCTGATAAGGAACTAGATCTAGCTAAAATAGAGGCTGAGAAGGAAAAGGTTAAAATGGAGGCTGAGAAGGAAAAGGTTAAAATGGAGGCTGATAAGGAACTAGATCTAGCTAAGGCTAAAATAGAGGCCGAAGACAAAGAAAAACAGAGGCGACATGAGTTAGCATTAGCCAAAATTAAAAGTAACCAATCTCAAGACATCAATGTTAACAAAACGGACAATTGGAAGCCTAAATTCAGAGCATTTAAACCACAGGAAGAAAGTGTGGAAACTTACTTAATACTCTTTGAGCAAACATGTAAGAGTTTTAATTATTCATCTGCTTGGAAGGCACAGACTTTATTGACTAATTTGACAGGAGAGACTATTGCCATAATAGCAAGTATGTCTGAGGCTGAAAAAGAAGACTATGACCTAGTAAAAGAAAGATTGATGAAACATTTTGGAAAGACAGAAGACTATTACAGGAAGACTAAACGAGATGCTAGAATTAACAACACTGGTGACATAAAACAGATCATTTTTGATATTCGCAAGCACATGAATTAAAGGCTAGAATTGGCAGAAATAGATTTAAAGAATCCTGAGGCAATTATTGAACTTAACCTGATAGATCATGTTTTAAATAATGCAACAGATAATTTATTCACTTTTTGAGTGAAAGAAAAGTTAGGACACAGAAACGATTAATAGAGCACCTTAATATTTATAAGGATGCACATCCAGGGGCTATTTTGGACAAAAGAGAGCAGTGAGAGATTTCAGCAGCAGTATACAGTAGAAACTCTGGCAGGGATCAAAGAAGGTATGGCAACAACAATAGAGATAGAAGTAATAGTGCACCTGCCAAATGGAAACCAGACAGATATAAATATAGCAGAAGCACAGAGTGTTACCACTGTGGGAAAACAGGACATGTAAAGTCTGAGTGTTTCAGCTTACAAAATAGAGATACATATCTTGGCAATAATGACAGAGGAGGTTATGCACCTAATAATAATTACAGAAATCAAAGTAATTATTACAGACAAGGACAGTATAGTGGACAAAGTAGAAATAAATTCCACAATCAAAGTAGACAACCAAGAATGGGACCAGACAACAGGGGAGAAAATAGAAATAGTAGAAATAACAATCAGGAGACATCAGCAGGGGTAGAAGGGTCAGAGACGGTGACATCTGTTAGACAAAGCAATACAACACTGAAGATGTTCCCAGCTATAGTAAACAACGTCAGAGTAATGTGCCTGAGAGATTCAGGTTGCACATGCATTATTGTTAAGAAAAGTCTTGTAAGACCAGAACAGTACATTCCTGGCATAATGAAGATGACATATGCCAACAAGAAATTTAAGGATGAGTGTGAGATAGCAGTAGTTGATATAGATTCTACTTGGCTGAAAGGTAAATATAAAGTGGCGGTCATGGAAGAACCAATAGCAGATATGATTATTGGGAATGGAAAGGAGGTGAACGAAAGTAATGAGGAGGATATAGATAGATGGGAAAGTCAAATTGGAGCAGCGGTTGAGACAAGAGCACAGAAACAAGCAAATCAGGGAAGTGGGGACAATGAGGAAAGCAACACAGAATTAATAGAAGATATAAATGAATGGATTAAACTTCAGGAAGAAGACAATACTCTCAAAAATATACTGAAAAACATTAATACAAGTAACATGAATGTTAGGGGATCTAAGTACACTAAAGAAAATAATGTTTTAGTCAGTAAATATATTGATAACAAGAATAATGAAAAGACTCAGATAGTGGTGCCACAAACTATGAGATCAAAGATATTACACCAAGCACATGACAGTCCATTGGGGGCACACATGGCAGTAAAAATACATTTGAGAGAATAGCTGAAGATTACTACTGGCCTTTAATGAAGGAAGACACAAAGAAACACATACAAAATGCACCAAATGCATAAGACTTATTCCTGTTGATGGGAAACATAGTGCACCTCTACAGCAGACAGATAGAGTTACAAGACCATTCCAAAAAATAGCAGTGGACATGGTTGGACTTTTGGAACACCCTACTTCCCAGGGCCACAAGTTCATATTAACTATAGTGGATTGGGCAACCAGATGGCCAGAGGCAATACCAATTAGAGAGATTACAGCTGCAGCTATATGTGATGCTTTGATGGGTGTATGCACAAGATTCGGTTTTCCTGATACGATTTTATCAGACAATGGAAAACAGTTTAAAGCCAAATTAACAAAGGCATTCACAAGCTTCTTGAATATTGCACAAATACATAGTACCTATACCATCCACAGGCGAATGGGATTAATGAGAGATGGAATAAAACACTGAAGATTATGTTAAAAAAGGTAACAGAGGATCACCCAGGTGAATGGCACAAGTATTTACCTCAAGTGCTATTCGCATACAGAGAGACTAAACATGAGTCAACAGGTTTTTCTCTTTTTGAACTGATATATGGGGTAACGCCAAGAGGCCCATTAACTTTATTGAAACACAAATTATTAAATAAACATGAAGAGGAATTTGATCCTCATGAACTAGTAAACCAGACTAGAGAGAGAATAGTTTATGGCGTCCAGACAGCCCAAGAGAATGCACAGTTGGTCAGTGAAAGGCACGGAAATATAAAAAACAAACTTAGATATTTAAGAACTTTTGAAAGAGGAGATTTAGTTTTTGTCAAACTGGCAGACAGAAAAAACATAGAAGTATTTCAAGGACCTTTTGAAGTAATCAAGAAACTATCTGATGTAAATTATGAAATAAACATAAAGGGAAATAACACTCCTATACACATAGACAGAATAAAGAAATTATATGTAGAGCCGGAGAAACTGATAGAAGAGGAACATATGGCCTGTACTATAATAAGTGAAAGCTGTAATACACAAGAAATTAAGACTAATCATATCCCAGTGAATGAGAAACACATAATAGACAAAATAATAAATGAGTACAAGGATGTGATTACAAAAGAAATGGGTTTTACTGAAACAATTCAACACAAAATAGAATTGACTGATTATAGTGCTATGAAAGGGAAGCATTACCAAGTACCAGTTGCTTATAGAGAAGCTGTTGAAGCAGAACTGGATTTGCTACTTTAGTCTGGGCAAATAGAAAGAACAGAATCAGCATACTCATCACCCATGGTGATGGTGAGAAAAAAGAACAACAAAGTAAGGATATGTTGTGACTATCGAGAGTTGAATAAAAGGACTAAGATAGATGCTGAACCCATGAATGATCCTAAAGACATTTTGGAAACTATTAGTAAATCCTCAATTTTCACCACTTGTGATTTGAACAGAGGCTTCTGGCAAATAGGACTGGAAAAGGAGTCAAGACAATACACCGCCTTTACATCAAGAAAAGGTTTATGTCAATGGAAGGTGATGCCGTTCGGACTTGTGAATAGTACCGCCACGTTCCAAAAATTCATGAAAAAATGACAGAGGGAATGAAAAACCTGGTCTTCTTTGTTGATGATATACGCATACATAATAACACATGGGCAGAACACATAGAAGCACTAAAAGAGCTACTAGAAAGACTTAGAAAACATGCGGTTTCCATAGCACCAGAGAAACTGCATGTGGGAGTAGATACAGTAGAATTCCTAGGATTTATGGTTGGAAATAAAGAAATTAGACCTACTGAAGGAAATAGGGACAAAATATTAAATATCAAAACTTCTAGTACAAAGAAAGAGGTGAAATCATTGTTAGGACTATGTAATTTTTATAACATTTTTGTAGATAAATATGCTGAACTTACTACTCCTTTAAGAGAATTGCTATCCAAAGACAAAGTTAAACTAGTATGGATACAGGAATGTGAAAGTGCTTTAAATAAAATAAAGGCTGAATTCATGAGTGACAAGGTACTGATGTCACCAGATTTTAGTAAGCATTTCACTCTTTTTACTGATGCATCAAATATAGCGTTAGGAGCTTGCTTAATGCCTAGAAACGGATAATAAATTATACCCAGTACAATACCTCAGCAGGCCATTATCATCAACAGAACAAAGATATGCAGTGATTGAGAGAGAGTGCCTAGCAATTGTGTGGGCATTGAATAAATTACAGAAGTAGTTATTGGGAAGACACTTTACTCTTCGAATAGATCATAAGCCATTGATCACAATCAATAAGAAAATGATAATGAAAAGCAAAATAAATAGATGGGCACTGATTTTATTAGATTTCAAGTTTGAGATAAAAACAGTAAAGAGACAGCACAATACATTAGCTGATTTCTTATCAAGACAGATTGAAGATGAAAAAATAAACATGGAACTTACTAAAGAAAATAATAACCTCAGACATATCAGCCAATCCTTATAAGGAAATTTTGAATAATGCAGTATGTGATGTGTACTTCCAGAGAACATTAATATTTTTAAAATGTGAGCAAGATAGGAACAAGTCATAATATTACTTGCATAAATATGTTTTACCACTATTTTAATTTAGTAATGAAAATGAACATACATTTTGTTGTATTTCTGTGATTTGTATGTATACTGTATATCTTGTTAAGTAATAAACATGATTATGGCAGTATGAGTTGACAGATGTAATGACCTAACTGACTCATTGTAACATTTCTCATTCATCTATTATATTCTCTTTTTTATCTCATTATGTATGATAGCTATGTACCATTGTTTCTTTATTCCACATTTTCAGTGCTATGTGTTACTGCTATGTGTTATTGAATTGCTTTATTTGTTTAAACGGCCAATGTGAAAAAAGGCCTTTGTGCCTACAATTGTAACCGTTGTTTGAATAAATTTGAAATTTGAATTTGTTATGATGAGGAGTTGACCTCAGCCATTGAAGTAGGGAAATCAAGGATATGATTTACCCATGGGAGCTATTACATAGCTATGATTTTGTTCTACTAAGAAGAGATGTTCCTTAGTTAGATTCATATGTTATTATTAAACTAAGAAGGTTTACCTTAGTTACAATTTTCTTTAAGGGCTATACTTATAAGATAAGTGAATCTTTGCATTTTGCGATGTATTTTATGAATATCATTGTTTTAATTTGGTAAGTGTACATATAAAATAATGTAGGATATTCATTAGCAAGTTTCTTTTTCAACATGATTTTCATTTAACTGTTACATGTATAATGAAGATTTTATAGTGAATGTGATGTATATATTAGAAATAAATAATGAATGTGTATGTAACAGTTAAATGTAGATGAATGTATGTTTCGAATGTGTATCTTTAAAAAAGTCGATATGGATCTAAAATGAAAGGTGGGTGTGCGCATGCGCTAAGGAAAGGAAGCGAGAGGTAGATAGCGCGGGAACAACATGGCGATGTTTGGGAGTGAAGGCGATGTTCTTATGAACCAATAAAATTATGGAAATTACAGGAACAATGGTTGATTTTTGTTTTGAGTGTGTGCCATGAAATAGGTAGGAGAAAAGGCTGTGACAGTATATAAGTAAAAAGAAAAAAACGTTGTTTGTTTATTTGAAAGAGACCTTAGCTGTTCTTTTAGGTTATTGAAATAATAGTGAATTATTATATATTTAATGATAATCGTTTTATTTCATGTTTTATTATATTTAAAAGCTTAGTTTAATTATTTGTCTGTTTTTAATTTGGAGTTAGTTTTTATTTTTGTTCTTACATTATCTTAGATTAATCTGAGCGTCGCTTAAATATATGTATTTGCTTAATGTCGTTACACTAGTAAGTAGGCAAAATGATTATTAGATCTAAACGATTGTGTTAATATTTACTTTGTGTTTTCGGTAATAGATTGGCAATAACAAATAATTTACCCTTGGTACTGTGGTGAAAATGAGAAATTTTGATTTGAAGAACGGCACTCGAAAAAATGGGCGGCGTCGACTGGAAACTTTGATCAGCTTGCCGACATGTAGGATGTCCACGAACACGCTGAGATACACAGATCAGTGAGAGGCAGGATTAGATTTAGTTTGATTATTGATTTTTGTGTGTTTGTGTGTGTGTTTGATTTCAGTGTTTATGTGGTTAAATGTGAGCTTAAGTTCATTCGAAATATGAATGGTAAAGAAAGTTAACTGCACAGATTGAATGGTTGTCTATAGTCTAATTGACTACTGAATGATAGATGAGGCGCTTTGGAAATCCAAGCACAAAGCTTGGGTAGTAAGATCCGGATAAGAAGGAACATATGTTGCCCAAGTATCAGGGCCTCTCTCTCACCACATGATAAACCCAGAGGACAGATTAGATAAAATATAATCAATCAATATTATAAAGCCTATAATATAAAACGGTCACCCATAATCTTATAAAGCCTATAATATAAAACGGTCACCCATAATATTATAAAGCCTATAACATAAAAACGTCACCCATAGTATTATAAAGCCTATAATATAAAACGGTCACCCATAATATTATAAAGCCTATAACATAAAAAAGTTACCCATCTATTGGACACTTCGCTGAGCTATCAATGCCAACTGTTTTGAAAAACTTTTCGATTTCATACATGCTAAAAATACAACAACAAAAAACTCTTGGTTTAAAATGTACTTTTTATATAATTAATGTAATAATAAAGCTTATTAAATGAATCAGTACATCAATAATATTTTGCTTTTTTTCTGTCACTCTTAACACTCTCTCCTTCCTCCCCCGTCATCGTCACAATTATCAGCCTCAACCTCAAATAAAACGTCACGCTTCAACACACGCCACTACAAACCCCGTCCGAAGTACAATTAAACAGATGTAGCTTTGTTGTATTTTTACTTAAAAATAAATCACTTACTCCAAGCCGGTTTTATACCCAGCTTTAATGAGTGTACAGGACACGTCACTATATGAGTTGATCATTTTCTGGGCAATCAGGTCTTTAGCGTTCATAAGTGCTTCCATAGTTGTTCTGAAAAAATATAAGTCTCACATGTAAAATTTATTTTTTTGAATAAATCAACGACACTGAATAACCCGGTATCTGATATAGTAACTGAAATATCAATATAAATTCGCGTATAAAAAGAGCACATTCAGCTTCTTTATATATCATTGTATTGTTTGTATAAACCCAGACTCCAACAGAATGATTGTAATTTTTTTTTCTTTTTAAACTCTGTTTTTTTTATACTTGTATGAATAAGGAGAAAATTTATTTTTACAGTTGAAAAAAAACAACATGTAAACTCAACTTAATTCAAAGTATTGTGTTAAGCAGGAATTTGAAAATGTTTCTCCATTTAAAAATATATGTATTTTAATGTTTCACATTACATGTTGTGCTCTATACACCACATATATTGTGCTATACATACCCCACATATATTGTGCTATACATACCCCACTTTTATTGTGCTATACATACCACACATACATTGTGTTATACATACCCCACATATATTGTACTACACATACCCCACTTATACTGTACTATACATACCCCACTTATATTGTGCTTACATACCCCACATATATTGTGCTGTACATATAAGATCGTTGTCAACATTCTACTATCGTATATTTTCATGCGTCATAGTTAGCAACATAAAGACTTGGTGAAAAGAAAGTGAGGGTTGCTTAAACTCTAAGACACATGTCAATTGGTTTATAACATACTAGAGCCACGCAATTTCCTTTGGGGCAGGAGGTTTGTTTCTACCAGTTGGATCAAAATGCACACGTTTTTTGTTCACATTCTACGCATATTGTAGATTTTCTGATGTCAAAGTTCTATTCAATCTGGAATTCCCAGTGAGTTTTAGTCGTGCATGAATTTGTAATTCCACAAGGCAAGTTTTCGATATCCGGGATAATCCCATTAAATATTGTGCATTTATATCGTGGCAATTTAAGGTAGGCTCTGTTTGAATCGTTAAAACATTGATCATAAAGAAATAGGTGGAAAAATAGCTTGTAAAATCAGAATGACGTCATTACCTAATCCCCCAAAACTTAGCCATGCGGTAGAAAACTCGTGTAAGAACTCCACCGTTGTAGTGTCCACTTTTACGGTGAAGCATATCTTCCACGACCTGCATTGAAGGCAGCTCAAGGGACCGGATTCCTAAACTGTCATTCTTTACCACGGTTGCCAATCTCCATTCAAACATCCCGAAAATGTAAAACTCCACAGTTTTACCTAGGAAGTCCGAAAAGGATTCATCGAAACCACTTCGAGCTATGGTGGGACTAGTGAGGGAACGAGAGAGTTAAAAAGCTTGTTATTAAAACGTTTTTTTATGAATTTGTTTTCAGTACTTTACATGTTTTATTTACAATAGTTACATGACTAAAAACCATTGTCAAGTTTATAGCTAAAGTTTCAGTAAAATATTATGGGATGGCGTAGTCTAGTGGTAAAGAATTAGACTGCTGACCCGACTAAAAACCATCGCGCGACTATTGTACGTGATGACGCGCTTTCGACAAAGAACCCCCCTCGCTCCACGCCCAACACGGCCGTGATGACGCGTGTGGATAGAACTGCCTACTAATTCGGTCCAAATTTTTAATTAATTTATTAGGCATCCAATTAAGTCAAATTTAATGTCATAATGCATTGTCTTCATGTCTTGACCCACGTTCCAATTACGAACCCTATTTGTCAGTTAGAAGTGTCCGAACTTTTGCTCAGGCGTTTCGATCTAGACAGACAGACAGACAGACAGACAGACAGACAGACAGACAGACAGACAGACAGACAGACAGACAGACAGACAGACAGACAGACAGACAGACAGACAGACAGACAGACAGACAGACAGACAGACAGACAGACAGACAGACAGACAGACAGACAGACAGACAGACAGACAGACAGACAGACAGACAGACAGACAGACAGACAGACAGACAGACAGACAGACAGACAGACAGACAGACAGACAGACAGACAGACAGACAGACAGACAGACAGACAGACAGACAGACAGACAGACAGACAGACAGACAGACAGAGGAAGTTAGTGTAATGAAAGCTTGTAACAATCGTGGATTTTGGTAAAGTTAAACGTTCACAAAATGTAAACAAATAGATATGCATACGATATATATATATATATATATATATATATATATATATATATATATATATATATATATATATATATATATATATATATATATATATATATATATAATGATATTTGATCGAACATACATTGGTGCAACACTTTTTGCATCGACCACAACCTCAGCACATGTACCACAACTTACTTTTGAGTTATATTTGTGTCTGTCCCCAGCACCATATGACCCAGCTCGTGTCCAACCACGTCAGGAGCGGTGGCGTATGACGTAGACACACCGTCCCCATCGCCAAACAACAGGTGGGTATTATTTCTCTTAGCGTTCGCCACATTTTCGCCGTAGTGTACTCTCACCGTGATCGGCGGATTCTGCAGCTTAGTGTAGTTAAACCACTCTGTGAGACAGTAATCACTAGCCTTTACCGATCTCATGTTTGGTTTTATTTAACGTGGGTTAGGGGAAAATATCAACAGTAAAGACAATCATCACTAGCCTTTACCGATCTCATGTTAGGTTTAATTTAACGTGGGTTAGGGGAAAATATCAACAGCAAAGAATAGCTTGTGTTCAGGTAACATAGTATGCAGGATGTAAAAACATAAGCGTAGCCGAATTAAAATTCATTATCCTGGGATCCGCACAGAAAAAGAGATTTTTAGAATATAATTTTACATTTGTGCAGGACTTCTAAATCTAAAGTGTTCTACCTACCTTCTATCTGTTGAACACAGTATACAAATGTCAGTGTTCTACCTACCTTCCATCTATTAAACACAGCACACAAATGTCAGTGTTCTACCTACCTTCCATCTATTAAACACAGCACACAAATGTCAGTGTTCTACCTACCTTCCATTTGTTGAATACAAGACACAGATGTCAGTGTTCTACCTACCTTCCATTTGTTGAATACAAGACACAAATGTCAGTGTTCTATCTACCTTCCATCTATTAAACACAGCACACAAACGTCAGTGTTCTACCTACCTTCCATTTGTTGAATACAAGACACAAATGTCAGCGTTCTACCTACCTTCCATCTATTAAACACTGCACACAAATGTCAGTGTTCTACCTACCTTCCAACATCCGCTGTGCTTGTGTAGCGTAGAAGAAGGCGTCAAACAGAGGCGACATGGCCCCATTGGGACCGTCCAGATATGCCTTGTTACAGTCAAACTCAAGGGGCTCTTTCTTCTTCTCAACATCAGAAATATTCACGCCACGAATGTCTATTCCTGGAAAACGTTTGATTTCTAAAAATGGTTTGTAAGTTTATAAATATGTATTTATTTCCGTAAACTTTCAGTATTTAATATAAGCGTAAATTAAATAATCACTAAACTCAGGTTATATTTACTAGATCTATATTATTAAAAATCTAAACATCTATATATCTATGTGTATATATGTTACGGTCAAAGCCCGAAGTCGGCCAATGCACGGATTGGCCGGCCAATGCGCGCGTTGGCCAATATCGCCTCCCATAGGTCGGTCAAAGTCCGAAACTTTGCTTCATTTCGGCCTTTGGTGGACCGACCAAAGTCTTAATTAGAAGATCATCTGGCTAGGGACGACCGGCCAAAGTCCGAATTAGAAAGTCATGAGCAGATTTTGTTGTTTTTTTTATGCCGTAAGGATCATGAAATTAAGTCTTTATTGATTATTAATTAAAGTAAATGACAGAAACATTCAAATTTTGTATTGTACTATAGTCTCAATCAATCAATATTATCATTTGTTACAACAAGTTGAACTTGTATGGCATTTAGAATTACATAGCAGCTTGTTATTTTTACACAGGCAGCGATTTGTTGTGCACTTAGTTGTGCAATTGCAGCGAGTGTAGCCTTGGCCCCCAGTCAATGATTGTGAAGATGCGATGGTTCGTAGTGATTTTTCCTCAGTGCCAACTGACGACAATAAGAGCTGTTTTTCATGAAGAATTGAAAACTCACTTCTAGCATACAGTTGTTTTAGAACACCATGTTCCGTTCCTAATTTGTAGAAACCGCCTTCGACGCTCATGACAACTGCAATCACGCTTCGGGGATCACCGCGACCTCTGTCAACATCTGGAACACGGATGCGTACATTGTCAACCACTTCACCATCTTTAAATTTTGTATTTGATGTTTTAAGCATCTTAGCACCTTGAGTTTGCAAGCCAGTATGAGCTGCTGACCTGTGTTCCATGATGTCTTGTTTGTTGTGATACAATCTGCAGGTAATGTTCCCTCCGTACCCTTCGTCTGCTTCATTGGGTATTCCACAAATAGCATGGACATCGTTGCCACAGGATCCAAAAGAATGAGCTGCACTACAATGTTTTTCACAAACTATATAGAATCTGTTGGCCACATTATTGTCATGCAACTGGTCTGGACGTTCCGCCACGGCAGCAGATGTGTTAGCTGAGGATGTCGTTGCATTTATAGCAACCTCCATTTCTTGTTCAATGTTCTCAAGATCTTCCTCAGTAACTAATTTATCGAGAGCCTCTCTTGGTAGATTTGAAGTGCTAAGTCCCACTTTTGCTTTGCATCCAAACAAGGCTTCGTATGGCGATTGTTGGATTCCTTGATGAAAAGAACGATTTTTCATAAATTGAATGAATTTGAGACTCTCAGCCCAATTAGCTGATTCATTTATTTGCATCCATGTCATCATCATGTTTTGAACATCTTGGTTGGCACGTTCGACTGAACCTTGGCTTTGGCTATGCCTTGGTTTTCCGTGAACTAGTTTAATTTCAGGCCACATGTTCTTTAGCTCAGAAATAACTTGATTCACAAATTCTTTGATGATTGTCTCACCTCGTCATCATGGAGGAGGCTGTCACATACAGTTGTACCCCAAATATGGAAACTAACATGGATTTACATTTTTTTTCTTTTGACAGCCATCTGCTATGTCTGTCTCATGGTCTGACGGCCCTTTTGATCCATGTCGCCTTGCATATAGAATGCTATACAAACAAGAGCTAAACAATACGTTACTCACAATGAAACCGCACCCAGAATAATGAAAACGCGATCACAACTTAGTCTAGATAGAGCATTGGCCGGCCAATCCGCGCTTTGGCCGCACTTCGGGCTGTGACCGTAACATATATTAAAAGCAATGTTTGTGTGTGTGTGTGTGTGTGTGTGTGTGTGTGTGTGTGTGTGTGTGTGTGTGTGTGTGTGTGTGTGTGTGTGTGTGTGTGTGTGTCTGTCTGTCTATCTGTCTGTCTGTCTGTCTTTTATGCATTACTACACCTCTCATCACATCGCCGTGAAACTTTGGGAAGTTGTTGTAAATATTCCTGGGAAGGTCTCTGCGGAAAAAAAATTTCAAATTCGCAGGGGTGGCGCCCCGGCAGGGCGCGATTTGTTTTTTCTCTATATACGGTATATAAAAATAAAAGTCGATTTTGGTTTGACAGCGATCACCCTATAGCCATGACACTTTGGAGAGTTCATTATAACACTCTAGGGAAGGGTCTGTAAAAAAAATCATTTTTAATTTCACCAGGGCGGCGCCAGGGGAGGGTGCGATTTTTCTCGATATACGGTATATAAAAATAATAAAAGTGAATTGCGGTGACACCGTTCACAAGATCGCCATGAAACTTTGGGAAGATGTTGAAAATATTTCTGGGAAGGTTTCTGCGCTAAAAACATTTTCATATTCGCAGGGGTAGCACCCCGACAGGGCGCGATTTTTTTTCTCTATATATGGTATATAAAAATAAAGTCGATTGCGGTCTCACAACGTTCATCCGATAACCATCAATCTTCAGGGACTTGATTAGAACACTTCAGGGAAGGGTTCTGTAAAAAAATCATTTTTATTTTCGCAAGGGCGGCGCCACAGGAGGGTGCGATTTTCTCTATATACGGTATATAAAAATAAACGTCGATTGCGTTTTCACGGCATTATTCCGATCGCCATCAAACTTTGGGGAGTTGATTAGAACACTCCAGGGAAGGGTTCTGCATTTTTTGTTTTTAATTTCGCAAGAGCGGCGTCTCGGGAGGGTGCGATTTTTCTCTATATGTGGTATATGTAAATAATAAAAGTGAATTGCAGTGACACCGTTCACATAATCGCCATAAAAATTTGGGGAGATGTTGAGAATATTCCTGGGGATGTTTCTGCGGAAAAAAACATTTACAAATTTCCAGGGGTGGCGCCCCGACAGGGCGCGATTTGTTTTCTCTCTATATACGGTTTATAAAAATAAAAGACGATTGCGGTTCGACACAGTTTATCCGGGTGCCATAAAACTTGAAGGGAGTTGATGAATACTCCCGAGAAGGTGTCTGGGGTAGGGGGGGGGGAAGAGGGTGTGGTGGTGGGAGGGGGATTTAAATTTTGCATGGGCGCCCCCCGGTAGGATGCGATTTGTTGCCCTGGTCTTTCCCGTGAACGCTATGGCGACAACGTTCGGTCTAAACAGTGTGATAGGATGGGGCGTTACAAACACTCACTAAATAGAATCAGGCGTGTCCGCCGGCGCCCTGAGAGGGTGCGATTTGGCTGCAAACAGTTTCGGCGCCCAAAGGCTCATATGGGCCGCCGAGAGCTATGTAATACGTTTTATTTTAATAATCAGAAAAATTAACCAAGGTTAGATTAACTGGGATGTTTCTTTTTGTCCATAAAAAAATCCAAACAGTTTTGACACTTTGCGAATGATGCAATTTGCATCTATTTTTAGACAATCCAATCAGAAATTGAGATCGAGCATCTAATAATAGACCAATAGTAACGCTAACATATTGCATCAGTCAGACTGATGTTTAAAACACGTCAAATAATTTGTTTACGTGTTAAGAAACAATCCTGTTCATTTGTGTCACTTTATCAAATGAAGCACTCTGCATCATTGTTATCAGAATGCTATTTGGCACTCTGGGTTATCCTATGAGCACGATGGCGCCTGTTAACGATGGAGCCAGGGGCCGTACGCAGCGCCTATGCGGTAGTGTAATCGGGGATGGGGGGGGGGGATCCTGAGAGCGACCCTCTACGTCCCTGACACATGGGCGGTCACTGAAGTGTGTTCTACCTCATTATTTCGGCGAGTGATTAATGTATACTCAAGGTTTTCATGCGGTAGTGTAGGTAAACCCGTGTCCCGATATTTATCCAAGCGTAGGCATTGTTTACATTTAAATAACACAATTTTAGAAAACAAGGTCACGCGTCTAAGAATATAGGATTGGTAACGCATGGATGAAACCCTTCTTATATATTTCTTCGGACTTTCTTGTACTCCCGCGGCAACGCGCGGGGGTTGGTACGCTAGTTTATTATAAATGAAAAGTATTTTTTTTTAAATGAAGAATTCTACTGAAGCACAGCTCGAAAAACAAAACTTTAAATCATTAAATTCTTAACATAAACAATATTCTTGATTCCAATGTAAGCATTTATATACCTGTATAAACATGACATACGATATTAATATAATGCAATAGATGATTTCAATAAATAAAATAAAAATTTATTAACTGTCAAACTGAAATGATATGCTTAAATTTTACAAACGTATTTTAAACAAATTACCTTCCACATATTTATTCTTTAAAATGCAATTTTTTGTTACATTTGAGAATGTGGTCTCCAGACAAAATGGTTTCCTACCAAAGAAGATCGGTCCCTGAAAAGCGCTGCCCCCTATACCAAAAGCACGATTTTCACAGGGACCTCCAATGTCAACTTTAATATGTACATGTAAAATAAACATTTTTAAACAAACACATTTTAAAGTCCTATAACTATTTAGAATAAATGTGACGGTAAAAAATGGCAATAGACCTACTTAAAAGACATTACAATTAGCTAAAAGTATTTTATTTACAATGAATTTCAAGCTGTTTACAGTACCAATGAATGTCTATGGTTTTAAAGTTTTAATCAAAATGGATATAACAATAACTTTAAAGTTATTTCTAATGAATCATCATCAGATTTTGTATTTGTTTTTACTAAAGTATTCAAAGAAAAAAAAACCATGACATAATTTATTTTAAAACTTACTTTTATCATAGCTGACTCTATTAACACGATGGTGGCATTTATCAATTCTGTAAATCATTCTGTAAAGTAAAAAGATAAAGACTTTCAATTGCTGGAAATTTTTAATATAATTTGTCCCTTTATTGCATATAGATATGATAAATTTAATTACTATGTCTTTTATAAAATGTTTTTGTTTCTGGTTCAAAACAATTTCTGCATTCTAAATTCGTACATAATTGACTCAATTATGTATCTAACATTTTTGTTAGGTATTTTCACACTTAAGACTACTAATATAGCAGGTAAAATGTAGCGCTATTGTGTTTTGTTTTTATTTTAATAAAAATAAAAATAAAATATATGAAATATTCTAGTAGCGTGAAATATGAAACATGATTAAACTTATTCAATTTGTTCTCTAGACTAGCAGACGACTCTCCCACTACACCATGCCACCGTACAGATACAAGGTGAAGGAAAAACCTACTTGATAAATCCACCAGATGTATACTTGTAAAGGTAATACTCAACCTCCTGTGAATCATCACCAGTTACCTTCTCAGCCTGACCTGCTAGTTCAAAATAGTCGTGCTCAATGCTGATTAGAAATAGACAGCAAATCAACTTAGATTTTTTTTTCAAAATAAAACTGGCAAAATTACTTTTAAAAATTTCATGTACGAGTTTTAATAATTTAAATAATATTTAAATATTATTGATATAAAATCAAATTGAAATGTTTTATTTTTTTTTTAAATGCAATTAATCATTAACAAAAAACTAAGATTAGATATTTTACATATACAGTTATGATTAACTTTAACACATTTTCAGTCCTAAACAATAATGGTAGAAAGATTTCCACGGAAGAATACAAAATCACGAACAAAGTATAATTTAATGAATAACCGTTACCGTTTAATAAGTATCAGGGCTCTTTCCTTTGATAGTGTGCATATCTTTTCAGATCTTTTTCTGAGTTGACTTTTTACTTCAATTTTTGTTTCGTCATTTCTGACAACTTTGCTGGGTCCGTTTTGTAACTCTATGTCATTTCGCGTCACTATAATGTCATTTCGTATGTCATACGCATCTGTCTGCTTTAAGTCGTGAATGTCATCAGTCTGTTTGTCGATGTCGTGGCTGACATTTAGAACCAACGTGTGACGTGTGAGAGACACAGTTTTATTATCATGAATCCTTCCAACAAGTCTCAGTAACGTCCAAATAGCTGGGACGGGAGACTGCTGTACATTCACCTAGAAATTCAGTAATAACGCATTAGTACCATTATTTCTTGCTAAGATTAGAAGTAATATTCTCCACTAAAACTATATAAGGAGCTTTAAAAACTTTAAAAATGTGCATTTTTTTTATTTAGACAGAAAAAAAAACCGATTTAATGTATTGTCATATACATCATTGAATTTAATGATACTTTGGAACGTTTAAAAAAAATCAGCCACGAGTAAAGCGCCACAACAAACCTTTTCTGTGCTGTTACCTCCTGCATTTGTAAACAATGACACATTAAATCCTTGAATATTCTCATTTGTATTTATACGAAGGGTTTTGTCCTTTATGAACTTTAAAGGAAAACTTGTTAATGTGTGTAACAAAATATTGACAAGTAACGTTATCTTGAGAGAAATAGCCGTTGACTTCATTGCTACTAGATCTAGGTGAAATTTAGAGTTTCTATGTACGGATACAATATTGTACTATACACTATACAACATCCGTGAAAAAAGAAAATTGAAGTTTTATTTCAAAATGAACCAGGACTTAAGAATAGATTTTCTTACAAGCTCCTTTTGTTAACGGTATTTTATCTGATAACGTAAATTGGATTTGAATGAATCCATTTAGGATCCATGAACAGAACGTGTTAGCTATGTTAGGTGTGTTAATTTCTGCTTCTCTGCTGCACTATGTATGTATATCAGCTTACGTTATAATATGGAAATAAAATCAAATTTAAATGGTGTAAAGTTGGAGTGGGTAGAGTTCGTGTTGTCTCTTTCTCTTTTAATTAAAGCTATAGATGACATCAATGGGCGTGTAGTCTTCCATTATAGATGAACGTCAAACGCCAGGTATTCGTAACCAAGGTCAGCCACCTAGAACCTAGGGGATGGGCGCAGCCACGCGACACTTAGCCCTAGACACACGACTCTGTTGTGCCCCCAAACAGTGGCGTAGGCAGGGGGGGGGTTAGGGGGGGGGGGAATAACCCCCCCCCCCATAGACCCCTTGGTATATATAAAAAGTATGAGGGGGTGTGCAAATCGAAAGTTTGAGGGGGGTGCAAATCGAAAGTTTGAGGGAGGGGGGGTGCAAATCGAAAGTTTGAGGGGGGTGCAAATCGAAAGTTTGAGGGGGGGGGGGGGTGCAAATCGAAAGTTTGTCCCCGGGTAAAAATTGGAACCCCCCCTTGAGACGATCCTGGCTACGCCACTGCCCCCAAAGACCCCCAATCAGGGTTTAGGGATTATTTACATATTTTATATTATAGATTTATAAAAAAAAAGTAAAAAAAGTATTTTATACTGCTTTCTTTTATTCAATAAATCAAATCAATGATGTTAGTGTTAATATCGTGATGTGATTTCATCAGTCAATAAAACAAATTAGTTCTAATCTTCATAACGTGCTCTAATTCCAACTTGTTTCTCGGCCAAAACTCCAGTGCTGAAGTGAATGTATACAGGCCCACAGCAAAAAGACGCGTCCTTCACCTTGAGCGTCCCTAGTCCAGGACGTTGTAGTGGTTTTCGTCCTTGTCGGTCAGTTGTGGCAACTATCCTCACCTATAAATAGACGTGACAACTATCCTCACCTATAAATAGACGTGACAACTATCCTCACCTATAAATAGACGTGACAACTATCCTCACCTATAAATAGACGTGACAACTATCCTCACCTATAAATAGACGTGACAACTATCCTCACCTATAAATAGACGAGACAACTATCCTCACCTATAAATAGACGTGACAACTATCCTAAACTATAAATAGACGTGACAACTATCAAACAGAATCCTACATAACCTATTGTTCACGAACAAAAATCACTATCTTTTTTAGCTCTTGCCAAAGACACACTGGGCAGATGAAGTAGTGTTCATCTGTTTCAATGACGGTATGTGAATGGATAGTGTGGTGAGTACTATGCTAAACCGCCTTGGCTTCCCTAACGTGAGTCAGGTACACATTAAAGCTGGGTGGGCTCAGGCACGTTCTAAAGCCTTTAATCCGAACTTGAGACCAACCACACCGTCCACACATGAGAATTTAAAAATGGTTGTCGATTTTTTACCACAAAAGTCAACTTTACAAAATGAAACAACACAGTAAAAATAATTTATTCGAATTTTTTTTTTTGCATGTGTCATGTGATGATGTAAATGAACTTTTACCATTGTTGGTTTTGTGGTGACAACAATAAACGTATGATTAGCGTCGCGCAGATGAAAGAAAGGACGGCGTCGACAGGAAACTGTGACCTTAGTGAGTTCTGCGGTGTTAAGTATTTTCACTGGCATCCTGTATATTACATAAGATTATTCGATTGACATCATATAATTTTTTATGTATGTATTTGTGCATAACAAAATTTGTTCGAGCGATTTTGTCAATTTTAAAGTAATGATTTAGGTTAAACACTTTTGAGTGTAAGTAACAGATACTATCAAAAACTGGATTTGAAATTTGTTAACTTCTAATGTACTCACATAAATATTAAAATGTATAGACTCACTCTTCAATAGGACATAACAGGGTTGTATTAAAACCAACTGTTTTGAAAAAGCGTTCAATTTCATACATGCTAAAAATAGAAAAATAACACGAATATTATTTAACGTTTTTTTTACTTTCTCGTATATACGAAGTATAGAGAAAGTATTGTAATCGTGCACAAAAATCACTTGAAATTTTAACAATTTTCACCGTATTACACCTCAGTCCTTCATCACATCCGAAGTATAGAGGACTTATTTTAATCGGGCAAAAATTATCAATCCAGATGTATCAAAATTAAGAGGTTTTGTGCGTAATCCAGTCTGAAAAACTGGGCTTTGCAACTCTGTCCGTATGTCTGTGTGTGTGTGTGTCTGTGTGTCTGTCCGTGTGTAAACACGATTACTTGAGTACCGTTACAGCTAGGTTGATGAAATTTCATATATAAGTAGTTTATCAAAATCGTAGATCCGTATCAACTTTTGAGCGATTTCCGAGAACCGGAAGTGGTACTTTTTCTACTTTGAATTTTTAAAAAGCCTATAACTTGAGTATTATTTCACATAGATAAATGAAATTTCACACATAAGTTAAAGATCTAATTCTCTACCTTCTGTTAAATTTTGAGTAATTTCCATTGACCGGAAGTAGTAATTTACGCTACTTCCGATTTCTCAAAAAACTAATGTAAATTTTTAAAGTACTAATAATATTGCGCACTATTAAACACTCTTTTATTTAGCGTTCACTTGGTGTGCAATTCATTTGTCTACGAGATTTTATTCTATTTTTAAAACTTTAAGTATTTAAAATTGATTAAAAATCATGTCTATAGCCCGAGTTCCCATCCCCTGTTGTTTTTTATAAGAATATTCGAGAAAGTTTAGGGGAGATCACTCCCGGTTTATTTTAAATCAATTTCATATTGATCCATATTTTATTTTACCAATGCCAAATTTTTTTTTAATTTTAGGGGGTGGGGGGGGGGTATTGGCGGGGGTGTTTGTTTGAAGACTGGCTGCGAAAGCATTATCGTGAGGAACATTTAACTTGGAGTGAATTTTAATTTTACTTTTAATTTTTCTTTATATACTGTTAACTGTAAACTATGAAAGATTGGTAGTTTTAACACTAAAATGTATTTAGCAGTGTAGGTAGTGGTGTACCGAGAACGTGGTTGTTGGGATTATGTCAAACCTATAAAAAGTAGGATGTGGGGGAATTAGTCTCAGTGCCACTGTGACCTGTGTGGCCAGTGCAGCCGACAGACTGTTTTACAAAACGTAAATTTATTGTGTATATTTCCTTAATATTTTCATACAAAATACTTACTCCAAGCCAACGAAATGTGCTGCATGAATCACTTTACAGGACACCTCTTCGTACGTGTCTATTTCGTTAAGACCGATCAAATCATTTGTCTTCAAAAGTGTTTCCATTGTCGCTCTTGAAAAACAAAATTTACACTGGAAAATGCATGAACGTGAACATTGGCAGAGCAATCAAAACCGAACGATCAACGACACGCCTTGCACTGTCGATAGACAAACTGACCGACGGAGAGATAGAAGAAGACGGGTGGACAGAAAGACAGAAATACTAAATAGAAAAATACCGCTGTATGCCCTTACCAGTGTGGTACAACTATTTAACCACGGGCAGGGGCGTAGGGACGTGGGTGGGGTGTACAAATGTCTCCGGGCGCCGACCTTTGGGGCGCCAAAATAAGCTCATTTTAGCTGCTATTTTGAATTATAATTTTTAAAAAAATATATGGGGGGGGAGGGGGCAAATTGAAAGTTTTCCCCGGGCGCCCCCTAATGTCTAGGGGCCGTCGGGCTATTGAATTTTAAAGTAAACAAATCTGGAAATTCGATTTTAACAGAATGTTGTTTAAAGAAGTAAAATGTACTTGGAATCATAAACTTGTTATCGAAACGGAAGTCATTATACTGAAAAAGAAATACTTTTTTTTCTATCTGAAACTCCAGCCATTGAAATTACTGACGCTTTCTAAAAAATATTTTTGAATGTACTATTATGTGTGTACTGTACAGAGATCTAGCCTATAATATGTTGTGAAACAAAAAAATATATACATTTAAGAACGTAACAAGTGGATGGCATAGCAAACAAGGTAATAGTTTGAGACGCTAAAACAAGTTGAAAGTAAAGTCTACAGTAGACTGTGTATTGCTAATCTGCGGTAGTTCTATTTTTTATTTTTTTTCTTAAGCACCGCCATAGGGGTCGTCCATAAATGACGTCACACTCGTAGGTGGGAGGGGGGTCCGTAATTTTGTGACGGTGTGAGATGAGGGGCAGGGGGGTTCAGATGGTGCGACGTCACACTTTTGCATTATAGAAAAGCAATGTTAGAAAACGAATTATAGACGTTATTTCGCGCTTTGAAAACTGTTTTAATAAATTGCAATAGGAATTGATTAAAATACTCTATCTTGACAGAGTTCAGGCAAAATTTGGAAAAATACCGATGTTTTCAGAAAAATTCACCTGCAGTTTTGAGGGGGGTTGTAGGCTGAGGTGTGACGTCATTTTTTTTTTGGGGGGGGGGGGGGGGTCTGGCTTTTTGTGACGATGTATGACGGAGGGGGGGAGGTAAAAATCTTTTTGAAATGCGTGACGTCATTTATGGATGACCCCCATATACAAAAGTGTACTAGATTGTGCATAGTGCGTCACGGTTTAAACGTATAACTTATATTAACGTTTGGAAGAAACATGGATTTTGTATTACATAAATTGCAAACAGCTTTATGTATGGTATAATAAATGTTTATTCTCTTATAAAAATAAAATTTGAAATATGTGTACGCCTCTGCATTAAAGAGTGTAACTATTTCCCCGACATTTGATTGCTAAGCTTAATTTTTGTTTAAAATATGAAAAAAAATGAAAGTGTAAAATTATTTTTACAAGATAAGAAATTCGGTCGTGTTCTTATTTGTGATGAGTGTTGTTGTGTTTTGTGCTTTTGTTTTTGCAAGCACGACTATGCAGTGAGTATATACTTCAAATCATATAGCGGTCAAAAAAATATACAGCGTGAAAGCTTTGTATGTGTAATGGTTTCTTGTGTTATGTTTATATTTTATGCTTTTTTGTTATTTATATTATTAATTTTAAATACATTTCCTTTTTAAACTATGTATGTATTTTTTTTTAAATAATAATTAAGATAAGTAATTGCTTTTTAGTTTGATTGGTACAAATGTTTTAAAAGGAGCTTATGGGCACCTATTTAACTATTTAAAAAAGGGAAACAAGTCATGGAAGTGTTTTGAAAGTCATCCTATCGTTCACACTACAGTTTATGGTTTAAAAACCAAGGGAAAAAGAATATACAAGAGCGTGAATGGTATTTATAGAATAAAGATAATTCAACTGCAGTAGCCGTATTCTTTTTACAAAACATCCATCAAGTCAAAAGCGCAAGAAAATATTTTTTTTTCAACTATAAAAAATTGGTTATGGTTGGCTGTGGGCCCCTAAACGGCGTGCCCCCCCCCCTTCCCGCATTGCGGGGTCTGGCGGCAATGTAGTTCCGCCCTTGATATATACATAAATTATCTGGACTTATCCCATTCCCCCAAACCCAAAAATGTTTGAGTACCCCCTGGAGTAAGGTACAGGGGGCCCATTGCCAATCAGTTACGCCACTGGTCATTACCTGATCCCCCAAAACTTAGCCATGCGGTAGAAGACCCTTGTGAAAACTCCTCCATTGTAGTGTCCAGTTTCATCATGAAGCGCATCTTTCAAGCCCTGCATCCCTGGCAACTCCAATGACCTTAGGCCGGAATAGTCTTTCGTTATCACAGTAGCGAGTCTCCATTCAAACATCCCGAATATGTAGAACTCCGCAGTTTTACCAAGAAAGTCACCAAAGGCTTCAGCGTAGCCATCCCGGGCTATGCTGTCCCTTGTCATGCTGCCAGAGAAATAAAATGACTACAATGTTTATCTCAACAAAATACATACGTTCAGTGCAAAAATCTTACGAAAATTATAATATGTTACATACTTTAACAATAGGGCTGGTAAGTAGGTTACCAACCAGTTCTATGGCTCATGCAGGTTTTATTGAGCCGTAGAACTGGTTGGTGACCTACTTACAAACCCTATTATGATTGGTATCTTGCGGATTAGGACCACTTTGTGATAAGTTATTTTTCAATCTAAATACGTGGCACTAATATACATAGTTCATACAAGAACTTGAGAACGAACTATAAGTGTTTATCGTCAATTGATAATTATAAATTTAAACAAACAACAGTGTCCAGTTGAAGAATATATATATACATATATATATATATATATATATATATATATATATATATATATATATATATATATATATATATATATATATATATATATAAGATTATTAAGTTCTTATGTAATGACTTGATGAAAACAAAACTTACTGCCCAGGGATCTGGTTATTTTTAACGAGAATCATGTGTCCCAATTCATGTGCCACTACGTCTGCTGCTGTGGCAAATGACGTCTTATTACCTCTCCCGTCACCGAAATAAAGTATGTTGTCCATCATGTGAGCATTAGGAATGTTCCGCCCGTAGTGTACACGCACCTGTATGGGTGGGTCCTGTAGTTTTGTGTAGTTAAACCACTCTGTGAGGGAGGTGTTAACACTTTAACAGCTAGGATTTTTCTTGGTTCAGATTTATATTTAAACAATTGGTGTGAGTTAAGAAGGAGCAAAACTTGTTTGGTCCGGTGTCTTTCTAGACACCCTTTCATTGATTATGTTACCACGCCTTATATTTATACAATTTGTTACTTACGTATATATTCATTATACCTACACTAATTCGGTAATACAAAATGAGCATTGGCAAAAAAGCGGCCCTCTACTAATGGTTATATGTTAAAGGGTATTTAATTTCTTGTTTTAGAATCCATGTAGAAAAATATGTATTTGTCTATTTTGTTTATTTCAACTGTATAATGTATTTCAAAAATATATTTTGGCCCCCTATTCTAATCCAAGTATAGCTTCTAAGGACGACAAACCGGTTGCAAAACGTACCTACCTCACTTTGTGTATGTCTAGTATAACACATTTCTTGTAGCGTTTAAAAAGGATGTTAATAAAAATAACAAAACAATTGAGATTTTAGCAATCTATTGTTAGACGTTCACCCACCTTCCAGCATCTGTTGAGTTTGGGTGGCGTAGAAGAAAGCGTCCAGCAGGGGTGATATGGATGCACTGGGACCGTCTAGGTAAGGTTTGCTGCAGTCGTATTCAAGGGGGTCTAACTTCTTGTCAGCTTCCCAAAGACTAACACCCCTGATGTCCACTCCTATGTTTCGGTTTAGTAAAAAATAATTTTTAGCAAGTGAAATTTTATAAGCAATAGCGTACGCAGGAGGGAAGGGGGGGGGGGGGGCGCATTGAGAAGCTGTTGCCTTTTTCTGCGAAGTGGCGCCATTTTGGAAACTTATTTTTAAAAAACATATTTTCAAGAATTTTTTTGTTATTGTAATAAATATCCATCCTGAAACGACAACAGACTAATCTGTCTAAACATGTTTAAGAAAATGTAATGATTTTAAGAATATTAATAAACTAAACTTTTTTAAAAATTAGTTGAAAAAAATGCTTATCTTTCAATAAGATTAAAGTGGAGATTCAGTTTAATCCTTTTATTTTGTAGACTTTAAAAGTAAAGATCTTTAAAAATTAATTTATATGGCCTATATTTTCAAAACGATCTTCACAACTTAATATATCAGTGTAAATGTTTTAGATAAATATTACCTTCCACGTATTTGTTTCTTAAAATGCACCTTTGTTTGTCATTTGAAAACAAGACCAGCAAACAAAATGGTTTCCTGCCGAAGAAGATCGGTCCCATGTATGTGCTGCCTCCTATACCAAACGCATGATTTTCGCAAGGACCCCCGAATGGAGCTAAATAATTTATTTACATAAATAAAACAATTTTAACCAAATTCATTTTAAAGTACTCTAAGTGGTTGACAATTATTTGGTATGAATGTTTAATGACGGTAAAAATGCTAACAAATTTTCATAAAATTATTTTGCGAATTCACTTAAAGCTAATACAATCTGTTTTTATATTAAGTATATAGTGTATTCAAAAGCAGTTGAGTCTAGTTTTTAGTAATATGATAATAATTTGAAGTTATATTTTGACAAATGAAAATCAGATTTTTATTAAAAGTCTGGCTTTACTGAAGTATTTAAAGAAAAAATAAACTAATGATTTAAGCTATAAATACATACTTGTCTCATGGCTGACTTTATTGACGCGATGATAGCACTTATCAATTGTGTAGATCATTCTGTGAAGTAAAATATTAAGAATTTTAGCAACCTAAGTGTACTTTCCCAAATTTTAATTTCAGGTAAAATTCAATCAATAATATGATTTAAACTGTAAATGGATTTGATTGACTAAAAGTTTTCTAAAATTGTTTATGGTAAAACTGTTAAATGCAATACTTAATTACTTAAATTTATCAAATTAATTTCATCATTAGATTTTTATGTCCACAATGGCTCATTATAGCATGTTAGATTGTTTTTTAAATTTCTCTAAATTTCAGCATAATTTGCGTCAATAAAAAAAACTGTAGCTTAATATGTTCTATCTATTAGCAGTATTAAATGTGTAACATGATTAAACTTATTCAGCAGCTGATCTCAAGACTAGCAGACGACTCCCCCACTACACCACGCTACAATACAGATAAAGGTGAGAGAAAAACCTACTTGATAAATCCACCAGATGTATACTTGTAAAGGTAATACTCAACCTCCTGTGAATCATCACCAGTTACCCTCTCAGCCTGGCCTGCTAGTTCAAAATACTCGTGCTCAATGCTGATTAGAAATGGACAGAAAATCAAGGAATTTTTTCAGACAATGGATGAGGGAGGGGGCATTTAACAGTTTCAGGGGGTCGGGGTACACACATCAAATTTATTTTCGGGTTGAGTTGTGCTGACGCTGGATAAAATATATTTTCTATATAAGATTTAACCTGAGAGGTGGAGGGGGGGGGGGGAGGGAGGGTGAGTTGACTTGCTGTAAAGGGTCCGAAGACGTGCATGACATAAAATCTGCATAGCATTTAAAAAAAAGGTGGATTTTTTAATTAAGTGGAGCAAAATCAATAACTTTTATAATTTAGATAAATAAGTTTAACAATTTGACCACAAAAAAAAATTGTAACGAGCTTTACTACGAACATCAAAACATACTAAAATATTGAATGAAGAATTTTTATAAACTAATCAAAAGATTGATATGCGTACACAGTGACTCAAAAATTTTAACAAATATTTGCAAATTAGTTTAATTTAAATACTTTTTAGTTCTAAAAAAACAATATTGTAGAAAGACAGATGCGGTAGAAAACAAAACCACGACTAAACCCGAGTATAACTAAAATCCTTTACCGTTTAATAAGTATCACTGCTCTTTCCCGTGACAATGTGCATATCTTTTCAGATTTTTTTCTAAGTTGACTTTTTACTTGAATTTTTGTTTCATTATTTTTCACAACGTCGCTAAATCTGTCTTGTAATGCATCGTCATTTTTCGTTCCATTATTTCGTATGTCAGATGCATCTTTCTGCTTTAAGACTTCTAAGACATCAGTCTGTTTGTCAATGTCGTGGCTGACATTTAGAACCAACGTGTGACGTGTGAGAGACATAGTTTTATTATCATGAATCCTTCCAACACGTCTCAGTAACGTCCAAATAGGTGGGACAGGAGAGTGTTGTACACCGCCCTTGAATGTAAAGTAAATTATGCTATAATAATACAAATTATCTTTTTCTTAAAACGACAAGGCTAAATATTTTAATTAATATTCTCACACAACACAAAAATTATTTTTAGAAACATTAAAACCCTTTTTAAATTTACAATGTAATACTAAATAGACAGCAAAAAAAAGGCTTAGCAATTTGTCATCTACAAAATTGAATTTTAGACTAAGCCGGAACTAATCACCCTCAACCTTCACTACAACAAACCTTTTCGTTTCTGTTACCTCCTGCATTTGTAAACAATGACACATTTACTTCTTCACGTGGTTCCTCCTTACTCAACTGAAGCGGTAAACTTAATACGTTGTGAGTCAAAATGGCAACCAGTAACGCCACCTTTGGAGAAACAGCTACAGACGTCATTTCTTTCGGATAAGACAAACATTATAGAGTCTCTGTGTGAAGATAAATTGTATATTATACACAATTTTACTGTTTTGCTAAGTCTTTAACGTACGCGTATACAAAATATGTTTAAATGAACCAAGACTTAAGAATCGATTTTCTTACAAGCTCCTTTTGTTAACGCCATTATAATCGATGATGTAATTTAATGAATCCTCATACAATAGCAAAGAGCAGAACGTATTAAATACGTGTTGTTAGGTGTGTTAGCTTTGGCTTTTCTGTAACACTTTGAAGGTGCGTAATATGTAATTCAGATTTTTAGTTATTATCAGAGATAAAATATATATATTGTATGTGTGTGTATGTGTGTGTGTGTGTGAGAGAGAGAGAGAGAGAGAGAGGGAGAGAGAGAGAGCTCTAGATTGGCGTGACCGGAGCGGTAGAGCGCTAGGCTACTAACCCGAAAATCTCGAGTTCGAATTCGGATCCGAGGCAGTAGAGCGCTCCTGAGTCCACCCAGCTCTGATGGGTACCTGGCTTTTGTCAGGGAGAGTAAAAGCGGCGGATCAAAGTGCTAACCGAACCTTCCCTTCATTTGCAGTGGTCCAATTCATCTGCCAATGGATCGCAGTGTATAAAGAGGATCCTTACTTTACTATAAAGATGGAGATTGTGTATTGTAGTTTACACAGCACAGTAAGGGGAGGGGAGGGATAGCGACGCATTGTTGTAGTACTTACACAACACATTTGAAAAAAAATCAGTGTATTCAACATAAATATTAATTTAGTAGTGCTATGTGGCTCAGGTACTCGGAGGGTTTTAAAACAAACAAACAGATATCAACGACGATTGCTAAAGACAAGATGGCTTGACAGAATCTTGAATGACCACGCGTGGAAGAACGAAAGTCAACAGCAAACATCGCAATGTAGACTTTATATGTAGGCTTTATATGTAGGCTTTGTATTGGTCTCGACTGGAAAAGAAAAATCGGCAAGCCTAAATAAGCATTGAGAAGGCCTGTATTAAGGACATGTGGGGGGGGGGGGGGTGGGGGGCTCAACCAAAGAGAGATTGCGACTGAGAACATTTGTGCATTAGATCTTTGTCCTGATATATTTTTTCATAAGATCTATTGTCCTTGAAATAGTTTGTGCCTGTTATTTATTTTTAAATAAAAGTTTTCCGTGTAATCTCCTGCCCTGGGATCTTTTAACATGAGATCATTTGTCCTAAGATCATCTGTCCTGTCACCCATAAACAGAGTCCGGTGGAGAGGTTTAGCTGCAACGTTTTGCTCCTCAGGGGCTCCGCAGAATTAGGTCACTCAGTTTATTTTTAAACCACAGGTCACGTGTCAAGCCTCTCTCAGCACGCCTCGAGATGTGTTAGAAATATATGGGTCATTTAATAAAAGGTTCATGTTGTGTTGTCCCTTTCTATTTTAGTTGA